GTCTTACACTGCTAAATTAGGGACGGCTAGCGCAGATAGCCCTCGTGTAGCTTTGCGCGAAATTCAAAAACAAACAAACAAACATTCAGGGGCCTGGCATGGCCAGATGGTTAGGGCGCTCGACTCGCAATCTGCGGGTCGCGGGTTCGAATCCCCGTCCCATCTAACATACTCACCTTTCGACCGTGGGGGCGTTATAATGTGACGGTCAATCCAACTATTCGTTGGTAAAAGAGTAGTCCAAGAGTTTGCGGTGGGTGGTGATGACTAGTCTGTCACTACTAAATTAGAGACGGCTAGCGCAGATAGCCCTAGTGTAGCATTGTGCGAAATTCAAACCTCAGTTCTCAGTATATTCAGGGCCCACCTAGAAAGTTCATTGCATTTTGTAATTACGGTCAAGATACGGTGTATTTATTCTTATTACCATTTGTAAATGATTACCTAAATAAAGTGAAATAACTATTTTTTGAAATCTCGAATTTCTAAAAGAAATTAGTTGGAAGAACGTAAAACAGTTCTGTAAAACTGTTTTCCTAGGGTCCAGCTACGAAATAAATTTGTTTTTGAATTTGAGGTTGAACATGTTTGATCACAGCATCTACAAGTATCTTGAAATGTAGTTATCATTGGGAAAGGCAGTTTTTGTGATCGGGGCTCAACTCGCAATCTGTAGGTTGTGGGTTCGAATCCCAACACCGAACATGCTCGCCCTTTTAGCCGTAGGGGCATTATAAAGTGATGGTCAGTCTAACTTTACGTTGGTAAAGGGTAGCCTAAGTGCTGGTGATGGGTGATGTTGACTAGCTGCCTTCCCTCTAGTTTTTCACTTCAAAGCTAGGGACGGCTAGCGCAAATAGCCCTCAAGTATCTTTGCGTGAAATTTAAGAAACAAACTTCGTTATAGTTCTCCTGAAACGGTACATGTAGCATCGCACTTGGATAGAGTAACTACCTTCTTTCATCTGTAAAAGAAAGGATTCAAGGATATCTTGATTTTCAAACACGACAGGAAACCCTAGACAGGCTATATAAATAATGTTACTGAGTTGAAATGACAGTTTTTATCCTTTCCAGGATCGGATTAATTGGCCTTTAATTGGTTGAGTTTAGTCTTTAATTTGTAATTAAGCATAAAACTACATAATGGGCTATCTGTGCTCTGCCCACCACGTGTATCGAAATCCGGTTTCTAGCGTTGTAAGTCCGCAGAGATACCGCTGTGCCACGTGGGGGTGATTGGGCGGGTGGGAGGCTTCACAGAATGTAGCATGCAGACTAGAGAATTTTTAATATTTTGCAAACAAAAGTCCTTCAGCTTCAGATAAGGGCAAGCCGTGGCCTATAAGTTAGCGAGATCGAACTGTTTACTCCGAGGGTTTAATTTTCGCGGCCTGTTGCCATAGAAACTTTGGACCGTGAAATGGTCAAATCTCAGTATTCGGTCAGACAAGAGTACCTTAAAATTTGGCGGTGGGTATGTTCAACATTGGATTTGCCTTTAGCCAGGGATTAAATTGGAGCGGAATGGTCTGGAATGGTGTTTCGCCTCTAGAAGATTAAACCCATTTAAGTTGTGTTCTTCTAGTAAGAATGTCAAAGTGGATTAAGGAAAGAAGAAGAAAAAGTTCCAATTCTATCAAAATCCCAATTTAATCACTTTTACGATGTGTAGCAGCATGGCTCCTGTAGTCGAACACTTGCGAGTTCGAGACAACCCCGTATTATTAAAACTTGATAAGGAGGAACCCACTTTTTAGAAAATAAAAGTTTTTAGGATGATAAAATCGTGTCGAAACGTCGAATGTTTTTTCATTACCTAGTGAAGCCGTCTTAAATCTTTTATTACTCGGTATTATGCTGTTATTATCCTTGAACAAGAAAGACCCTTTACCTGCCTTGTTCTAGTCTATCTAGGTGTATTAAGCTGTTACCTGAGGTTAAACCCGTTTAGGGGGAATGGGTCATCATTATCACCCACTTGTGCCATTGGAACCGAAGTCCGAAAGCATGTGCGTTGTAAATAAATGCAATACTTTTTTTTTGTCTATCAGGTCAGAATTTCGCTGAAATTTCAAATTTTGTTTTGGTACATTCATTTTGACGAGAACAAACATTGAGACTTGCCTCTTCCTTACATTTCCAGTAGCAGTGGCGTAGGAAGCAAGATGGCCCCTCCCCATTTTTAAGTATATCCCAGTAAAAATGTATCAAAATTACGAAAATTATTCTCAGGAAAAACATGAGAATGCATAAAATTTAAAACCAGAATCCAAGAGCTTCCAGGGCCCTAAGGCGAGCCTTGGACCTCAGCCGCTTGGTTTGTTTTTTTTTTGAATTTTGCGCAAAGCTACACGAGGGCTATCTGCGCTAGCCGTCCCTAATTTAGCAGTGTAAGACTAAAGGGAGGGCAGCTAGTCATCACCACCCACCGCCAACTCTTGGGCTACTCTTTTACCAACGAATAGTGGGATTGACCGTCACATTATAACGCCCCCACGGCTGAAGGGGCGAGCATGTTTGGTGGGATGGCGATGCGAACCCGCAGATTGCGAGTCGAGTGCCTTAACCACCTGGCCATGCCGGGCCCAGCCGCTTGGTCAAATAAACCTTGTGCACCCCCCACCCCCTCCATTGTTAATTTGCCTCTTACACCTCTGAGGAGCCCATGATCTCCTTTCTCTGAAATTTGTGGGATTCCTTATGTTTCGGTGCCTTTCAACTTTCCTAATCATACTTGCTAGGTACCCTAGTAGAGCATGCTGGGTGTGTTATACCATATGTTCAAGGGGTGTTTCAATACACTTCGCAGCATAGTGTATATTACAAATTCTGACGTTGTTTGTGGCGTCAGATCTATGTGTTAATATACAATATTAGAGACATTACCGAAAGTAATGTAAAAGTTTTGAAATGTGATTGATCTGCGTTAAGCTACCTCTAGATGAACTTTATATTTTATATATCTTCTATCTTGAAATACAGACCAACGAGTTACATATTTGCATTGATTAATTAGAAGTTATATCTTCTTAGTTAATTTCATAATGAATTGTATAGAATGATTAACAAACTTTGAAAACAATTCACATAACAATACAACTGTTTCATGAAACGTGGGTTCTGAACTGATGGGATTATAATATTGTAAGTTTATATATATATATATATATATATATAATAATCGTTATTTACTCATTTTCAGGGTGTTGGCAAAAGGCCTGAAGAAGGTATCTCGTTCAAATCAACTAAATCAGATTTCTCGATAAATCGTTCAGTCAGAGCTAAGAAGCTAACTTAAATCATGACAATGCATCCTGTTTCTAATAGGGTTAACCAGAAAAAATATAGCCTTTGGATCTGATTTTTACTGGAGAATGGGTTTCTTGTTATTCTTTGTCTCGCTGTATTTGTACGAAAAGTGAGTCTATTAAACTGGAAAGTTAACATATGGGATTGTAGCGACATCTGTTTCGGAGAGTTTATAAATTGAATAAAATTATCTTAAAACAATATAACAAATAACCTTTATAATTAAGTATTTATATTCCTGATACTTAATATATTAAATTAGAATTTTGAAATCGTTGTCACATATTTTGTTCCCAAAATATTGTCAGGGGAAAGCAAATGATCCTTTCGACCAATGCCAAACTTAATGAGTACATCTACGGCTTATTGCTTCAGCCTCACAATGCTGTTTAATTAAATAAACATGTGAACTATCCTGATTTTAAACCCGCATGAAACCGACAAGTTTGAGGTTTTTGTCGAGTCCTCTTTATTGAAATACTGATATTAAGATTTTCTGTGCAAAAACAACGATCAAAATAAGAAGCCTAATTTATGTATTAAATAAATCCAATAACGAACTGAATAAGCACAACAAGGCAAATGTTTACATACTTGGGGAACTGATAATAATGTTATAACAGAAAATTCAACTATTAATTCATCTGAATTATTCGATTAATTTCCGACAGTGTCATTAAACAACAAATAAAATAATTTGTAATATATATATATATATAAAATCAATATTCAAACGGTCAAGCAAGACAAAATCAAAAGGAAGGACTACATTAAAAACAGCAAATTCAAACCTGTGATAAATGATATCCAAATGACTAAAAACAAGCACAAACAATAATCAAATAAAAGACACTGCACAAGTCAGGAGGATCCCCATGGCACCGGCTAGAACGTGGGATATAAAATGTGCCCTGGGTTTTGAAGGTGACTGCGGAAGTAGGACCCACATTGCGGTGAATTTAGTTTTATCTTCTGTGGTCATTGTAAGAAATGAATTGTAGTGTCATCGGGAAGCCGAGAGAAAAGTCGGAGGAGACGGGCGCTGCGTCGTGAAGTCCAGCGTCGGTTGAGTCGAAGACGCCGATGAAGTTATGAGAGCAAAAACGAACAGGAAGATCCATATGTGCGCTACGTATGCTATGGTTATAATTTACGTGGTATTGTTTGGAGCATTTTGATAGAGAAGTTTTTTTTTAATTTTATTAGGGTGGTTTTAAAAATTGATTTAGTTTCTTAACACTGGTAAAGGTAAAGGACCCTTTTCATGGGGGTGGGACCATAGGTCCAATGCCCGGAAGAAAATTTAGATGTGTGTGTGTGTGGGGGGGTGGTGGAGGACCAGAGTGCCCGGAGAAAACACACTTTCACAGGACAGACTTTCAGACTATACACAAGCCTTTATATGCGATAAGGTGTTTATCCGCATAAAAGTAGTGCCAAGTTGTTTAAATAACCGTATTAAAACTAAAAATACTTATTGGAAATTATCAGCAAAATCTCCTTAATTTTTGCTTTTTTATATTTATTCAATACGTTCTTATATTTATCACAAAATATTTTAATAATTTTATTCAGAGTTTCTTTATTAAATCCATTGAATATTAATTTTCGCATCAGTTATATTATAAACTTTTAAAGTTATTCTTTTTGGTTGAATAATCTCATACGACGTATTCTTATAAAATTAACTCAACCATTTGGATTGTTTTTACTCTGGGTTAGCGAAAGTTAATTTTTTTTCTTCACCATTTCACTGAACATAACATTTTTCGTTAATGTTATAATGCCTCAATTTTTAGTTTCCGACGGAATAAGCAGTATCCGATAATTTTCCATTAATTTTGCGAGAAAATTATCGGATACTGCTATCCCAGAGTAAAATCAACCAAAAAGTTGAAGTTTATTTTATTAAAAGACGTCGTGGCCTGTTATATATTGGCATTTTGCTTCAATAATCTCATTTTGAAAGTTATTCTTTGTTTGGAATATAACTGAAGACAAATAAACAAACAAACAGTAAAATTGAAGAAAGCCGAAATATTGATAACACAATATGAAATAACTATTGGGAATTTTGATGTGAGGATGTCCATTTTGAAAGTTTTACATCAAAGGAATCTTTTTATTGAGATATTAGGAAAAACAATTTTTTCAAAATTTAGGAAAAAAACATGAGCTATAGCCTTGGCTTTTCGGTGAAAATATGGATTTTTTTTTTTGGAAAATTGAAAAAAGTGCTTTTTTGACGCAAAATTAATAGAAAGTTTATTTTTTTTACCTTTTCAGGGACATAATATTTTTCGTTAATGCTATAAAGCCTCATTTTTAGGTTTTCCGTCGAAATAAGCACTATCAGATATTTTTCTATTAATTTTGCGTCAAAAAGGCACCTTTTCAATTTTCCAAAAAAATCCACATTTTCACCGAAAAGTCCAAGGCTATAGCCCATTTTGTATTAAAATATAAGGAAAAACTATTTTTTTCAAAATTTGGGAAAAAACATGAAGGGCATCTTAATACAAAGATGCCCTTCATGTAAGACTTTCAAAATGGATATCCTTTACATCATAAAATAACTGTTGGGTGTAAAATTGAAGAAAGCCGAAATATTGATAATAGATTAAAAAAACAAACAGAGTTATTCTTCGTTTACAATATAATTGAAGACTAATCTCATTATTGTAATGGTCCTTTAGATGATGAGATTTTGTTTGAAGTCTTTTAATGATATCAACCCAAAGGTTTTTGAACTTTCACTAAAACAGAGTAGAAACAATAAAAAAAAATCTTTTCGCGGGATATAAT